ATTAGCATGGGAAAGGACATCAAGAATCATCAAGTTCTTTTCCACTGCTATCACAAGTCACAATATCACAAATATTCTGAACTCCCTATGAAAACAGCATCTACAGTGAGCCTGCTGCAGGGAGACACCTCCAGAACCCCATACTTACACTTTATACTCAACGTGAATTACGTTCTTTGATCACATGCAGTCATCTCTGTGGTAAAATTGTCTTCTAGTATCAACCTCTTCCTTCCCTGAATCTGGTGTACTTCAAGCCAGCAGTAATATCTTCAGTTACTCTTCACTTTCATGAGCTAAACCATGCGACTTCTTTCAGTCTTAGAAAAGGAGCTCTCCACGACCTTTAAACAATCAGACAGTTTGTATTCATCTCCCATGAGAGTCAGTCAGTGAGGCTGCAGTGCTCAGAGGATGCTTCTTGCAGCGCAGCACTGGCACCTTGCTGTCCCCATTGCATCTTGCTGTCCCCATTAGAGATGTGTCTCTGAGCAGCAGGCAGACCCACAGGTTTCTCCCACCACCAGACACCCTGACAGCCGCTATGTAAGCCCCACAACTCTGTCTTTTCTCTTCCAAAGAATGAGACTCAGTATCTCAAGAAATTATTTTTACTTCCTCACTAATTTATGAATTCTCAGTTTAAGATAATCAGTTGGTTTCTCATAGAATCATAGAATCATAGAATCACTAAGGTTGGAAAAGACCTAAAAGATCACCCAGTCCAACCGTTCACCTATTCCCAATAGCTCCTACTAAACCATGTCCCTCAACGCAACATCCAGTCTTTCCTTGAACACCCCCAGGCTCGGTGATTCCACCACCTCCCTGGGCAGGCCATTCCAGTGCCTGACCACCCTTTCTGAAAAGTAATACTTCCTCATGTCCAGCCTGAATCTCCCCTGCCGTAGCTTGAAACCATTCCCCCTGGTCCTATCACTAATGACACGAGAGAAGAGGCCGACCCACAGCTCACTACAGCCTCCCTTCAGGAAGTTATAGAGAGCAATAAGGTCTCCCCTGAGCCTCCTCTTCTCCAGGCTGAACATTCCCAGCTCCTTCAGCCTCTCCTCATATGGCCTGTGTTCCAGACCCCTCACCAGCTTTGTTGCCCTCCTTTGAACACGTTCCAGGGCCTCAATATCTTTCTTGCAGTGAGGGGCCCAAAACTGGACACAGTACTCGAGGTGCGGCCTCACTAGTGCTAAAATCAGTGTTTCACATCAGTTAGGTAGCTTCTAATTACATCAGTGTTTCACATCAGTTTTATATTCTTCTGCATTCACCAAGTCCCAGGTCAAATATATGTCACAGTGACAACTATTAACTGCATCAGCTCAGTATTTTGATCATGCTGCTGCCTAAGCACAGGCTAAGGCATAGGCCAGTCAGCAGAAACTAACTCCCAAATGACCATATATCTCAAGATAAGCTATGTTTATTTAATTCTCTATTGAGAGGGTTATATTTTTTCCTTAGGAATAGTGATAAATGGACAGGATTGGCCTTGCCATGACATCAGACATCTGGATCCTGAGCAGTGTTTCAAAGATGACTGGCAATCAGTAGTAGTATTACAAGAGCTCCTTTATCAGCCTCATCCAAACTGGGCTTGCTGGGTACGGACAGCTGACGGAAAAGCTTTAGCAGATGTGACAAAACACTCTCCTGAGCCCTGCTGGAGTGGCAAGGATTTATTATACTATTAGCACATTAATACTTCTCTGCTTTTTCCCAAATACAGAACATAATATTGATTGTTGCTGCATTTTTTTTTCCTTTGAGTTGATTTCCACCATTTCTATCTATTCACTTTGGTATAATCTCTTCCTTCTACATTTTAAAAATGCATAGCTGTTGTCTGCAAGTCTGCAGATCATATGCTGGTCCCTTGGTCCATTTGCTCCCTTATCACTTTTCTGCAAGAGGCTACCTTCTAATTTATATTCATTATTAACTGCTTCTCCCACTTGCTGTATAATTTCTATACTTCTTTCACTTTCTCTCATAGCCAAACCAATTTTCTAAGCAAAATAACTCCCTTTTTCTGTAGTGCACTTTTTCATTGCTCTTACACAGTTTTGTGGTTTACCTGCTTAAAGTCTTCCTTGCAGAGATTCGATTTAGAATTGGGTTTAGCTTATGAAATTGGCACTGTGGAAGCATCATCTACATTTAATATGTTTGATACCCCTTTGGAATGCAACCTATTAGAAAAAATGTTCCAAAATGCTTTTAACCCCAGTGAAGAGATAAGTTATATGAAGTGAGAAATTAAGAGCCTTTTACAGTTTTGAATTAATGAGCCCACAGCTAGAATATGGCATGAAGTTGAGAGTGCTTCCATATCAGGTATTTGATACCTGGAGAGACTTTGGAAAAAAAAATCAATTAGGGACTGAGAGTATTTTTGAAGAATGCTTTAAATAAGGGAATACTTTTAACCAACTGATGAGTGATAAAGGAGAGGAATCGCCTATGTGTACTTTTATAGAGGTGTTCTGCTTCTGAGGTTGAAGTAGAAGATGGGGAGGAAAGAAGATAGAGAAACAAAGAAACTCAGATATTGGATGTAGGGGGATTGTTTGGGGTATTTAGACTCAAATGCCAGTTACATACAGAACGGTTTTTCCTGCGCATACAGGATGTGGTGGAGAAAATAACCAAATAGATCTTCCATCTTTTCTCTTGACCTGTCCTTTTTTTAATAGTCTTATTTAACTCCTTAAAAGAACTGGCTGCTCAAGGCAGCTAGGCTACCTAGTGTGGCTCAAACACTCACCATTGCTTGTTTTTTTTTGGTATGTTGTGCTGAGATTCATGTGCTACACAGTCAGCAGGGCTCATAGATTGTCTCCCACAGGGTACATTTTCCTGGTTCAGTCGCTACTCATTTAACTCAGGGGAAAAAGCACTGAACTGTGACAGATCCTTACAAGAGGTAATTTCACCAGCCACATTAGAAATACTCCTATTGACACAGAAAAAAAAGAAAGAAAAAAAAGAAAAAAAAGAAAAAAACATCAGCTCCACAAAGACTTCTCCACCAGAGTTCAATCCCACAAGATTTTCACAGCCTAAAGTAAAGAACGCTTCAGCTGTGCCACTGCAATATCCCTGTGAGAGAGCTCTGCCTTAATAGAGTTAAATGGTGGGTACAGATTAGGAAGCTGGTGGTGGGTACAGATTGGAGTTTTAAGTTTTCTCTATTAACAGAGATTACTTTCAGCACCAAAATAACAAATTCTTTTGCAACATTAGTCAATGAAGTCAAATTTGTCATAACCAATGAAATAACAAGTTTTGTCATCTTAGACCTTATCTTGGTCAGGTAGCCTGTGCTGAGCATATCTACAATAGCCCCAAAGCCGCAGGATGGATGCCCAGGAAGACAGCTCTGCCCTGAGCTGCTACAGGTCTGACAGCTGTGCTGAACAATGCATCTTCAGGAGCTGGAGCTCTCTCAAGGCTCCACATTTCCAGCACAACACCAGCACACACTCAGGTGTTGCTCCATTACAGGAAGCATTCAAAGCCAGGCTGAATGAGCAACCTGGTCAACTGGGAGGTGTCCCTGCCTATAGCAGGGGGTTGGCCCTAGATGATCTTAAAGGTCCCTTCCAACCCAAACTATTCTATGATTCTATGACCATCACTGGCCTTGTTACTTTCATTTTGAAATGCAAGCTGCAATTCTGCAGACTGGTGATTTAGGTCCCTGCTGTCCTGAGGTTCCCACTCGAGTGATACCCTGCTGTCATTTCTAATCACACAGTGTTTAGTAGCTTACTTCAAGGAGTGACTGATTATGTTTGTGCTTCGAAGGCATACGCAGACAAAAATAAGATGATACCGAGTTTCAAAAATCAATTCTAGCATATGCTTAATGATGCCTACACACTCTGCTGGAGTGCTGAGAGGTCTGGCACTCTGTCCTAGCTCCCTGAGTGCCTGCACAACAGCCTCACACCTCCAAGGAAAGCTGCACAACTAGCCTTAGCCAAGCAGGTGCTCTCACCCTTCAGTGCCCACTGCACCATTTGTATTTTGTAACCACAGATGCACATTCTTGGAGAGCTCCAATATACAAGCCAACTAATTACCATTTGTAACTAATTATTAATTTGTAAGTTGATCTTAATAGCAAGATGACACTTTAATAACTAGTTTAATACTAATGCTGGTGAGCTTGAAGTGACATCAGATTTAAAAGAAGTTTACAGATTTTGGTATAAATAGAATCAGTTACACTAATTCATTGTATTGTGAAGCACCACCATCATTTTCATGTAATAAATGAGCCCACTCTACTCATTTTAATGGTTTATATAATCCTCACAGACAGGCACATCAAAACAAGACAGCTGGGGATTGACAGTATTTCATCTGTGCAGTTCATGTTACACTCACAAGCACACACAAGAACAAAGCAGAAGTCACCAGCCAGGGAGGAGGCTGCCAGGCTGTGCAACTATGTGGATAACACAGCAGTGAAAGAAAGAACCATCCTTTTCACAGCTTTACATTGGGCTGCCTCCAGTAGCCCATAGCAGCTGGCAGATCTCAGCACCTCTCTCTCTCCGCACAGTAAGCTCCTTCTTGCACAAAGGAGCAAATTATGTGATAATGTCACACCCTGCTGCAGTGTCAATTGTATGAGCTTCACCAAGACCAAGTGCTGAGTCCTGCACTTCTGGGTATTTCACAAAACAGCCAAAGCTGCTCCTACCCGTGACTGCCCTCCTTCCCCAAGCAAGATCCCAACTCACGTCCTCCATGGCAGCAGCAGCCATCTTACACAGCTAGACTTTCCCCTGGCACAGGGTCCCAATGTGACGGAACAGTGAGCAGGGCCATCAGCAGCGCGAGGTGGTTGGGGGCAAGACCACCCCGTATGAGGTAATGGGGGCGGGGCTGCCTACAGGGTGATGCGACTGGGCGGGGTGCAGCCTGGCAATGTCTCTAAAGGGGCTGCCTGGGAACTGGGGGTACTAGGGGTTTCTCTAGGACTTGCAGCCTGCTCTGTGGTCTTCCAGGATGTTTGGCTTGCAGGTGGACTATGGCTTGTTGCTGGAGCCCCTGGGCTTCATCAAGGTCCTCGAGTGGGTGAGTGGGGCAGGGAAGGCCCTGGGGTTGGCAGTTTGTCCTTCTGCTCAGAGCTTGGCTGTGTAGTCCTCAGCAGGAGCGTGTTGGTCAGCTGCCTGTCTGTGTTGTGCAGCTAGGAGTGGCTGCTCTGCAAAGAGGTGCTCCTCAGGTCCTGTCTAGGAGGGAAGAAAGCACTTCTTCTTAAATATAAATAATACGATGTACTCATCACTGCTGTTACAGCAACTTGGGCTGCTGGGTGGTAGTATCTTACATCCTGCTTGTAGGAACTGTGGAGTTTCCATACTTAACAGAGGGCAAGCAGGAGCTACTTAGAGATACAGCTTCTTGCTGTGTCAGCATACAGTTGTGGATGTCTGAGACTCCTAGAAGTGCTTATTAATTACAGGAGATGCTGTGCTGGCTTTCCCTGACAGCATTCAAATCAAAATGGTACTTTCTCAGTAGAACTGAGTAGAGTGTAAACAAGAGTCTTTGAAACTGACTTGTTTGCTTTTTTTTTCCCAATTATTTCTATAGAAATACAATGCACTGATTCCTTCTTGCTTTTGCTTTAATGCTTTTTTTCATTAATAACTTGTTTGCTTAGTTCTTGGTTTTTATTAACTTCTTAATAAATTAATTTCTGTTAAAAGACTTTGAGCTCTAGTGGTGTGTGCTGATGTCTTTGTTTCAATTTCTAGATTTTTTCCATCTTTGTTTTTTCAACATGTGGAAGCTTTCATGGTGAGACTACCCTTCTAGTTTCCTGCAGGGGTGTGGTGAACAAAACAGTTACAGCTGTGTTTGCTTATCCATTCAGGTGAGATTAATCTGTTCAGTTGTTACTCATATACACTGATTATTTTTTCTTCACTTTCATCTAGCTTTTTCCTTGTGAACAGCTCACATATACAGACTAATATTGTGAACCTATTGACTTGATCTATGGTAGTTGAAGGGAAAGAAAAGAGTATTAAGTTATAATGGCTGAAAGCACTGTAGTCATTGGTGTGCTGTGGAGGCAAGGAAGTAAAGGTGATAACTGACTATTTTGTATTGCTTTACCCTAAGCTATGTTCTGCCCATGTGGGAAAGCTATATAAGGTGATTAATCAGCAGAACAGTACAAGTAATCAGGGGTCTTTTCCAACCTTAATGATTCTATAAGATTATCTATAGTATTAACAGCCCCTTTCTTTCAACATAGTTGGTCTGGGAACCCAGGTACAACTGTTTTTGATGTGCTGTTGTCATGATATCTTCATGCAAAGGCAGAGTAGAGAAAATTAACTTCATAGTTTATTCCACTCTAGTCTTTCTGAGGTTGTTCAGTACTTGACTAAATACTCCACTGCAATTGTAATGTAAATGCAAGCTGCTTTCTTGGAGCATGAGGAAGAAGGCTTATTCTTTCTTTTAACTTTGGCACAATCATAAGAAGTGTATGTGTTACTTTCATGTTCAGTAAGCATATGTGTAATGATAGAAATGGATTCAGATGCTACAATGTAAAGACCTCTCCAGAAGTACAGAGCTTAGTCACAAACCTCAGCGTTGTAGCAGCACTTGGAGGAGAAGGTAGGCATCTGAAATGCTTCTGTGCTGGTCATTGAGTTGCTACTGGTTGCAAAGTTCATTGACCTTCCTTTGCTTGAAGATCCAGTGCTTGCATTTGTGTGTAGATATGCAGTTGTTTCGTTTTAAGTCTTGCCCCTCACCTTCCCTCCACCTTTAAATGCTAGCCTCCAAAATATAACATGTCTGCTTCCAAACTGGAGCTACTTTCTTCAGTTAGTTGAAATATAAGGTCAACACTTCTCTTTAAGCTACTGTTGCATATCTCAATGTAGGAACAATCTTCAGAGATCTGTGTACCTTTGTATTATATAACTGATAATGTTATTCAAACAATTTTTCTTACAGTCTTAAACAACTAGCATGTTGAAGGAAGCAGTGGTGTTGTGAAGCATGCCTGTATGAAGTTTCCTCTGCATAGTAGACTATTACTATGTAATATATTTTATCTTTTCCAGGTTGAATACTGTTCAGTTTAGTGCACCAGATTCTAGTCGCTGTGGTGGTACTTGGACTGACATCTATCTTGTGGGCAACTTCTCCTCTTCTGCACAATTCTTTGTTACGCTTGCAGCATTGGCTTTCCTCTACTGCATTGCTGCCCTGGTAGTATATATTGGATATAAACACGTGTATCAGCACAACAGCAAGTTTCCACTAACTGTGAGTAATAAGTATTTCTATGTCTTTTTGTACTTCTAAAAAGGATGGAAAATGCTGTTAAGGCAAGCCAAATCTGAATTAATGTATGATACTCGGTAGTTCCAAGAGCTGCATGGACTGTGAGCCATGTATCTTGGATTTGTGGCTACAGCACTTAAGCAAAAGGAGGAAGGAACCCAAAGTCCTTTAATATCCATGGCATCTTGTCCTATACATCTACTGAAGCGAAGACTAGAATGAAAGTCCTCCTAAAGTGAACAGTGTCTTCCCCATAACTTACCTTTATTATGTATTTGAGTGTACAGTTATTCCATGGGGAGAGGTCCTTCCTGTTAGGCACTGGGAACTCCCCCTCTGTAGAGCATCTGCTGTACAGATGTGATACATGGAGGGAAACTGTTACCCTGTGGGTTAAAATCACCTTATATACCAAAGCCCTGATCCTTACAGTGTTTTTTTGGGTATGATCTGGAATATCTCTCAGTCCTAGTGACCTTTTCAGCTAAACTTTAGGATATCTGCAGTCCAGACTGAAATCACCCTGCTACCCCAATTTTGTGAGACTTTAATTTTGGTAAGTGCCAGCTGTCTGGTTTAGAAACAAATTTCTTCCCAAGGATAAAATTGCTTATTGCTTGATAGATACAAAAGGCATACGTGATTTAATAGCTGATACACAACTTTATTACCCATGTTGACTTGTAATTACGAAGCTGTTAATGTTTGTGCTTGTGTTCACTAGTACTGGTATGGTTATTCTAAAGTAGTTGACACAGTCTCTGCCTTATTCTGGTGTGTACTTAATTTCTTTTAAATCTTCTAACGAGTACTTCTCTTTTGTAGGACTTAGCTGTAACTATTGTAACAACCTTTCTGTGGCTGGTCAGTACTTCTGCTTGGGCAAAGGCACTTGCTGATATCAAAATATCAACAGGGGCTGGCATTATTCCACTAATTGACTCTTGCAGAGCTCCAGAAACAACTTGTCATTTTGGCTCTGTGACCAGCATGAGATCTCTGAATGTGTCTGTGGTATGTATGTCTTATGTCATGCAGTTTTCAATGAATGTTATAGAATGCAGATGGTAGCTGAGAAGCATATTCTCATTACATGTGTTGATTTTAAAATTGCTTTGTGGGGATATTGGTTATGCTATGATACAGTGCTTATACCTTTTTTTAAAAAAAAAAAAAGGAAACTCCTCTCTTCTTATAAAGGAATAGAAACAACTTGACGGATTTATCTTTAGAGTTGTTAGATATGATAGTTCCTAGACGCATTTAAGCCTCCTTGCTATTTCTGTCTCTAGCCTGTAGCACCTTTAAAATGTTTCTCAGCCACCCAAATGGCTCAGACTGCTTTAAGGAGGAAAAACTGTGCTTCCTGCTCTGTCTTCTGGTACTGAACTTCACTTTTTAAAATCAGCTGTGTGAATTTTTACACCTCAGAGGTTCCTTATAAGATGGTTGGCATAGAGTGCTCACGTGCTCCTTGCAGCAAGGTAGCTCTGTCTCACTGTAAGATCTTCCTAATGAAACTTGCTTTCCAGAACTCAGTGTTATTTTTCATTGTCCCACTGTAGTGATCAGTTGTGTGCTCTGTATGTGCAGAGGGAACTTGTATTTCTGTACAAAAGAAAGAATATCAACTATCTGATTTCCAGAGAAGTCTGTTTAAAATATTCATAATATTCCGGAGTATATGCAGGTATCTTCTGTCATCTCTTTGGTTTGGAGAGCTGTTTCTGGCTTGTTTAGAAGTCATATTCTGCATTGTTGGGGTGTTATTTTTGGTTTTTTTTTTTTTTTGTTTAACCTAACCTCGCTTTTTTTCTTGACCTACAGGTATTTGGTTTACTTAATATGGTTTTGTGGGGAGGAAATATCTGGTTTGTGTACAAGGACACCAACTTGCACAGCCAATTAATCAGAGGTTCTCAAGTTCCAGGGACATATTCAGCTCAAAGAATATAAGAACAAGATTATACTTTGAAGTGCTGCTACTTTCACATCAGACTGCCAAGAACATGGAGCCAATAGGATTTATTTCAGTAATAACTGATGGTACAGACTTCTGTTTCATATGAAGTGTTACCTTGATGTAGTCTTCAATATTTCAACTGAATTGTTACCTTGAAATGTATTATGCCTTAACAAAAGGCTGTACAACCTTGTGCAATATTTCTGAGAGAAAATGTTGAGGTTGCCTAAATGCTGGCACCTTGGGGGGGTTCTTTAACCTCATAGGAGGGATGGGGAAGGAGCACCTGTGTTTGAGTTACAACTGCAGCCTATCTAGTTCTAACAAGCCTTTACTGGAGAAAAAAAAAAAAATGAAATGCAAATACAACCAGGACATGTGAAATCCCAATGAAAAATGTAGTTGATCTTCTTGGTAAGATGGACACCATGCAAAAGCCATCTGCATACAGCCTGGAGCTCTGTCAGGATTGTGGACGTCACACCTAGATTTGCAGGTACTCCCTTCAGATTACAGCATCAACTCTGTCAACAGGTCTTTTTTGGAGGACATTAATTTGTTTAATATTTGGTTACTGTTTAGTATCTTAGGATAATCTTCAGATGAGAACTGCAATATTTCAGTGTAAGTTCACTTATCAAAGGTGTGTGTGTGCAGAAGGTGACTTAGTCTCAGAACTTGCTCACATATTGTGGACTCCAAAGCTAATATTCTAGTGGCTAATATCAGTCTCTACTCCTTCCTCTGAAGGATATGTACAGTCTTTGCACATGGAAGGGTTGGACTAAAGCTGTCTCAGTATATGGAAGTCTTCATTGACTCTGCTCAGCTCACTTGTATTTACTGAGAGCAATATTTGATGGTTTCTGTGAACATCTGTGTGAAGATACCTGACTCTGAATTGCCTAGATACAGTTTATTAGACAAAACACATGCTTGTTAATCTTATCTTTAAGCTGTATCACGAAAATAAGCAAAGGTGTGTCACTGTATATATGCAGACTTAGATTGACTGTACAAGAGCTGTATTTCTGATAGTAAGCTTCTAAGTATAATAAAGTTAGTGTGGCTGCTGCAAAAAAAGGGTGCCTTGTGTCCTTACTGCTGTAATAGATGCAGATGTGTTGGGATGTGGCTTTAGCTGCTTCTGACCTTGCTAGCTGAATGAGGTAACTGCTGTGGAAGAGCAGTTAGACTGATGCCTTGAATTGTGTTTTAGTGGGTGATTTGGTTGGTTTGGTGTGTGGTTTTTTTTTTTTTTGTTTGTTTTGTTTTTTTTTTCTTCTCCTTTTGGTTATAGATTCTATCTTTGAGAGGACCATCACTTACTTGAGCAGATCACATTTACCTGGTGCTGTGCAGCACTTCTGCCAGCCTGTTGTATGGGGCCTTTTATTACTTTTAACTGTCCATAGTTTCTTTTGAGTTTTATTTCAAAAGCGTTAAGAAATGCAGTGTTCACATGACCTTTTTAAAGGACATTGTTTCTTCCCAGTTCAAGGATAAGGGTTTTGAAAGCTATGGATATCTCACCATTTCCTGTTTAACGATGCCAACTCTGACTGATAAATAGGTAAGCTGGTTTTATTTTTATAATCACTCATGAACCAAGTACTATATCACCTTACAAAGGCTTGTTTTGAGGGAATGTGGAAGAAAAGTAGTACTTGATTTCAATCCACACATCAGGGGTATGACATGTAAAATCAAAATGTAGCCTCCTTGAGACCTTCTTCTCAGTAGAAAAGAAACAGTGAGGTGCTGGAGCAGGTCCAAAGAAGGGCAACAAGGCTTGTGAAGGGCTTGGAGAATGTGCCCTATAAAGAGTGACTGAAGGAACTGGGGCTGTTTAGTCTGGGGAAAAGGAGGCTGAGGGGAGAATCTATTGCTCTCTTCAACTACCTGAAAGATGCTTACAGTGAGAGCAGGGATTGTCTCCTCTCACTGGTGACAGGATGAGGGGAAGTGGCCTCAAATTGCACCAGGGTGAGTTTAGGTTGGATGCCTTTACAGAAAGGGTTGTTAAGCACTGGAATAGGCTTCCCTAGGAAGTGCTTGAGTCCCCATCCCTGGATGTGCTTAAAAACTGTTTGGCTGTGGTGCTCAGGAACGTGATGGAACATGATTTAGCAGATGATTGTTAGGGTAGTATGGTTAGGTTGAGGTTGGACTCGATGATCTTAAAGCCTTCTCTGATTTGAGTGACTCCATGATTCTGTGCATCTCACTTCCACTAGCTCAAGGAAGCTGTTTGCTGCACCTTCTGGTAGGCAAGGTGCAATTCTCAGCCTAAAAAGGCTACAGGGTGGGAGAAGTGAGATGTTGAACGGGCTACACCTGTTACAGGTTTGTTCAGGGTTTGGTGTGTTATTTTTTTTGTGACTTTGTGGATTTTTTTTTTGGTAGCAACAGTGATTTGTTGTATGTTAGTCTGCTCTGTTTGTTTAACTGGTGTTAACTGAACACCTGGCTCGATGCCAGCTTTGGAGGTGTTCTTTAGGACCACCCAGTATAAATTGCTCTGCAGATGCTTCCTTCTGAAGGACTGATAAAACTGTCAACGTGTTTCACTTTTGGCAGTGCTGTTGGTCTTAATATTCAAAAGTCCTCAGGCAGTCAGTGGTTGGTGTTAATGTAGTGCTTGACTGAGCTGTCTCCACAGCCTTGCTTGGGTATCTCTTCTGTGTGAACTGCCAGGATGTGTATGCTGTTAGTAATGTTACGCTCTTGGCACTTTCTTTGCATCAAGCTTCACAAAATTATTCCTGGCTGGGTTAGGTTTCTGTCATTTCAGTAGTCTTAATTGGGTCTTGAAGCTTCACTGGCATTAGTGATGTCAAGTGCTGAGCCTCATCTTGCCTTTCATCTCTGCTACCAGCTGGGTCGTGCCCTGCAGAATTGCATTGGGCTGTAAATAGTGTGAATCTTGTTGAAAGGCTGCAATTACGATGCTCAGGCATTAGCTAATGCAGGGCATGAAGCTTTTATCAAGATTTAAAGTATGGAGCCAGATAGCTGATTATGAATACACGGAGGCATTATTTTTAAGTGGTCTTGCACTAACTGTTCTCCTGTCTTCCAAGATCACATGCCAGAAACAACCTCTGTGGCATCCTTTCTAACCTCTTCTCTTGTATCAATTCCATGCCCTAAATACTAACCTCAAACCTGAAACTCTCATTTCTCCTTGAAGAGATTTCTTTAATTAAGGGCTGTTGTGACAGTTATCACCAATGGCTGCCTTTGTAACAGTATGCTTATATCATGTGTGCAGATGGGAAGAGAAAAAAAGTGTTGGTTAAAAAAGGGGGAGGAAAATACAAATAACTTTGCTACTTATAAGGTTTTTTTTCACTTTTGGGGGGGGGGAGGGGAATACCAAAACTATTGGCCCTTCTCAGTGTTCCTGGTAGAATTATGGACACTTGAGACTAAGATTTAAAAAAAAAAAAGCTGTAGGATCACTACTACAAGCTTACCATAAAGACAATATTTAGGTGTTAGAGTAATTCCATTGCTATATCTTTAATTTTGGAGCAAACCGGTATTTGTGACTTGATCAAAGCTTGCACTGCTTTGAGCAAGGTTGAACCAAGCTTTTTTTTTTTTTTTCCAAGTTCTATATTGTTTTCTTTTGTCACCTGGTGGATGACTGTTTCCCTTTGTACCTTGTTTTTCTCTTTTAGCCAGAGGCTCCCTGCTTGCATCATGCTTAATTCAAGCACATATTGAATCCTAAGGTCTAAAACTTCTGAGTTTGCTTATTGCTTAAGGAGATAAATAGCTAACTATAGACTAATTAGGCTCTTCAATCTCATAATTCTTTAGGACTTCAGGTTATATACAATGTGTATTACTATTTTTCCCTTTAATAGTGTTTTTTTTTTAATAAAATTAACAAAATTTTGTTCCTGTCTATTTACCACCTGAAGCTCCAGTTCTACAATGAGCTGACTGTCACAGAAAATGCTGTTGGAGTCAGTGTTGTATTTTTTTTGTTTATAAATGGTCATTGTGTGTATTTTTGCACATGAGAGAAGGAAGGGATTAGATCAGTGTATTCTTCATTGGCCAAGGTCTAGCCTGCAAGTGAAGCTGAAACAAAGCTGGGGTTTAGCATGCTCTCCTTCTGTAAGGTCTATATGAAGAGGTATTCCTGTTCCCCATAGTCTGAAGCTCTCTTACACTTGTAGATGAAATGTGTTCTATCCCTGCAGTACTTCCCTTAGAAGACAGACAAAACGTGGCAAATGAGACTAAAATTGGTGAAATATACATAAATTGATGTAATTTCAGAAAAAACTCAAATTGAGCATGCCACGTTTGCAGTCATCAGCCAGGTAAATGTTAATGGTGTACTGGCTCTGCAGACTGAGGTGAATGTGATGCACAGTCCACAGCAAGCAAGATTTCAGAAAGAATAACCATGTGTCCCTTCCTTGTTCATTAGGATAAGGCTTGTTTTGCTTCAAAAAGAGGGGATTGCTGTAGGATACTGCTGCCTTTGATGTCTGTTGGAGTCTTGCTGCTGAGATGAGATGGGACTTGGTGCAGCAGAAGCAAGCAGCTGCTCTCATTTACACTGGACACCCACAAAGGGCTGAGGAGCCTTTGCTTTGAATTGATATCACATCCATGCTGGCAGCACTGAGATGCTTAGTGCCTTATTTACTGACAAAAGAGTGTGTGTGTGTGTGGGGGGGGGGGGGGGGTAAAGGGGATGGAGGAAACCTGCCTGGTTTACCAGCTTTATCTTGATTGCATGGGTATCTCTGTGGCTAACAGGAGATGCAGTTTGCTTATCTCTCTGTGCTGAGGAAACAAAGGGCCTGGAGATCTGCCAGGTCTCTCCACTGAGCTATCATCAGCTGGCAGCAATCCTGGCAGCCTTCAGTTGTGCAAGCTCAAAAATCTTTAGAGAGTGTGTGGATCCTCCTGGTAGCAAGCTGTAACTATGCAGCCCTAGCATTTGCGCTGAGGGGTGATTTGTGGTCTGGTTGTGAGGAGCTGTGATCAGAAGACCAGGGTAGGAGGGAAGGCTGGACAGTGGCAGTGGAAGAAAATGGAACAAAGGGGTTGGTATGGGATATCACTAGGGAACTTTCAGGCTGAGAACAAAATCCTGTCATCATTAAGAGATGTCAAAGGAACTGGCTAACTTGTGGCTTAGGGGGCTGTGACCTGTGATGTGAGGGCTAGATCTGTGCAGCTGTGCTGAGGAATGAGCTTGCTGAGTGCATCAAGACCCAGAAGAGCTGCTGTTATGGCAGTTGGCATTCTGTTGGCAGTGGGTGAAGATATTGCCACAACCCTGCAAGAAAAGTCATAGGAATTGAAGAATGAGAGAGATCTGGCCACATCACATCTCCTGTAGGTCATATGAGTGGAGTCACTCTGGGATCTGTATTGTCCCTGGAGATGTTCAAGACACACAGAGATACAGCACTGAGTGATGTGATTTAGTGGGCGTGGTGAAGGAACCTGGCTTTCTGTTATTGCTGTCAGCTACCTATGCCCTGCCAGTGAGGAATGGCTTGTACTTGGCACTGCATCCAGCCAATGTCTGAGCAATTCCTCATTTATTCATAAAATGCACTTGTTGGCTGAAGGAGATGTTACTGCTGTCAGCTGCATTTTCTTCTCACCAGTCTGCCGGGCAGTTTGCCTCACACAGCCATGAAGGAGGCTCTGTACAGGTCCCTTAGAGCCTGATTCTCAATCTGAGTAAAAGCTGGTGTAGCAGATACTCCAAGTTTACTCAATTGCAGTTTTATTCAAGTATTTTCCTACAAGTATTTTTCTACAAGTACCACGCTCTGGACCACAGCTGTGCTTCCACCCTGTGGCCCAGGTTCTGTAGCTATCTGTCCTAAATTCCATGGGCTGCTTCTTGCATTGTAAAGCAGCTGGAGTTCTGCTTGCTGCACCTCTCCGCTTTGGAGTGATAACCTCTCAGTTGTTACACATACTGCTGCTCCCAGCTCATTTTTATTTTCCCATATATACACATCATTTCCTAAATCATTTTCCTCTGGTGGCTTCAAATATAATTCTCCACCACATTCTGCAGATGCAGGAGCTAT